GGCCGCTGTTGGCGGCGAGAAGTCGGGACGGTAGAAGAGAAATTTAACGTATATATCCGCACGTGACGATATTAATTGTTCCTATCGAAAAACCACTCCGAACGGAGCGTTCGGTTGTACGTGTTTTGAAAGGCCGTAATAGTATTAACGATTTGAATTCATAATACGCGTTTCGTGTATTTTCCCGTTTTTTTTTCCATTTATTAAGAAGAAACACCCCCGGGAAAATCAATAAATGAATCGGAGCGAATTTCCTGGTAGAAAAGTAGTGCACGGATAAAAAAAAAAAAAATTAAAAATAAACACCATTGTAAAACCAATACGTTCCTCGATCCGCTAAGAACTTTCGCGTCTTGTCGATTTTTTATTTGAGCGAGATGTAAAAAAAAAAAAAAAATGAAACAGCGTTAATATCCGCGCTTTAATTTACGCGCTTACAGTATTGATAAAGGCGATGATATAATTATATAAATAATCGCGTACAGCTGAAAGTATTGTATTACGATAGCCAATGGGCATTACAATTCAGTAGCGTATTTGCGGGGAAGGTGGTACATTGGGTAGATCTATCTCCCTCACCGCGTTAGCCTTTTTTTTTTAGTTTCTCCTATCTATAATTTAAATTCGAATTTCTTCGGTCAGAAAAATCGACAATTTTAACGTGACGGTAAAAAAACGTAGGCACACGTTTTCCTGTTCAATATGAAACTTATCCGATACAGAGTGATTTTTTTTATCATGAACCAACAATTTTCCCGTGGGATTTGATTCCTGTTTTTTTTTTTTTTATTCAGTCACTGTGAAATCGTTTGAGCTTCATTTTAAATTTATACCCCTATTCCATTGCCTTTAAATAAGTACATAATTTGGATTTTCAAAAGGGAACCAAACAACGAATGAAATTAACTTTAAATTCCTCTAGGGAAATCGCTCGTTTATGATGTACAAGATTCGTTGCGTAGCACAAAAAGTATCGTGATCGATTTGAGTAGGTACCTATACTCATTATCTTGGGAAAAAAATGTATTTAAACTAATACTTCATAAGTTTATGGAATTTGTAATGAAGGTTAGAAAATCAAAAGATCGTAATTGTTTCACCTCCGAAATTAGGGTGACGAAAAATACCAGCAATGTAGCATTTTAGAGTGGCTTATTGTTTCTCAAATATTGTCGAAAAAATTTGTCATTATCCGAAGGAACAAGCCTGTGGCTTGGATTTTTTTTTTTCAGATTTTTAATCCGGAGTTGGTGTGGAATCTATAGGTTTGACATATGACATATACTTTGTTTTGTCTGTAAACAACATTCTTGCTAGAATTTTTTTCTAAGTTCAAATGTTGTCTAGTCGGTGCATCAAGGAGATCAATTTTTGATATAATTTTCAATTGGAAGATTAGGTAAATACATTTTTACCGCAAAGATATTTATTATTATTATTTTTTGTTTTTATGTGAACACTTTTTCTACCAGCAAACTTACTCAGATTATCAAGTACATAACTTTTTCTGAAAGGATATATTCTCTGAGCTCTACTTTTGAGAGGCCATTCTTTGAAATTCACATTAATATTTGAGATAATGAGGAAAACCAGGTCCTTTGGGTTAAAAATAAAATATAAAAATAAGGTTGTCATTGGCAACCATTTTTATTTATTTGTTGTTATAAAGATTTTATTATTTTTATTTAATCTTGTATTAAACAATCATTGTTGTCATGGAAACAAACATTGTTGTAATCTTTTTACCATAATATGACATGTGCATATTATATATTGTTAACAAAGCGACACTGTCAAGTGAAATCCGCTCAGAATCGTTTTTTTCGTTAGTAATCGCTTATCGTTGCTTACAGATATACATTGAATTCCCGTCTGCATCCTACCTTTCCAACTTCCCACCTACAACAGTGGCTGCACAAGCGTGGGAAGTATGTCCGTCGTATTTTTCGCTGCATGCGCAATTATTTCGCTTACCGCTGCGGTAAAATTAGTTTACTAACCGAAAATCGTAGTCGGTTAACGATTATAATATATTATAATGTACGGCAGAATATTGTGAAGTGTACCCGCTTACACTTATCGACGCGTTTGTCGTATAGGTAAATTAATTTTTATCTGTGTTTCAGCTATACGCTACACGTATAATCCGATGCATACCTCGGTGAATCGTTAAACGATAAAAATATGTTCTAAAATTATTGTAGATACGTAGGTACTCGGCGCGTTATCAATATTTGTTTAGTTCGTACAAAAGTATTAGAGTATTATTATTATCATCGTCAGTGTAATGACGGTCGTCCACGATGACACGAATGTGAAACAAAATAAATACCGATCGGTTAAGTCACACGTGCGAGATAGAAATATACGTGTTCCGCGTATAGTGTATAGATTATACTGGTTATCGTATGTTCAAACGAGATAAAAATGCAATTATTTCAATTTTTTTTTTTTTTTTATTAGTTTTTTAGTAAAACTACGAGAGCTCAGCTGTAATATTTCGCTTTGGTTAGGTTAGTTGTACGGTATTTTATTTCGTCCCGTTAACAAACTAATAAGTACGTACCGGGCGATCCATTCAAGTGGATACACACACTCATTAACTCGGAAAGTATTAACTTTATATAAACATAAAATTGTAGGGCAGCTTGCTCCTTAAACGTTTTAGAATACGAAGTTCGGAAAAAAAAAAAAAAAACAATACTTTCCACTTAAACGGATCGCCCCCGGTATGCATCATAAAAGTGCTCTGTGCAAATTTCGATGAAATAAAAACCTCGTTATGATATCGCGAAAACGTTTTTTCTCGGTTTTTTTTTTTTTGTAAATCGTTAATAAGAAAAAAAAATAAAATACAATCAATAATACCCCGTGTAAAATACACGGGTTTTTATTTAAAAACGACAATACGCATTGTTGTATAGGAGTTATTGTTATTGCCCGCGAAACAATAGTTCGGTGGGAACGTCACCGGTGTTTATTTTCGAATTATGAACGGTTTTTTTAAAAGATTGTTTGAAGTAAAGCGAAAAAAAACAAAGGTTTTCGCATCTTCCGTATCGAGCTGTATATTTTTAGAACACGAAGACCCTATGCGACGTTCCCACCGAAATGTCCATGCATTTCGATTTGACGACAGGTACCCATTTAACTCTGCAATCAATTAATTGCGCCGTCGTCTCTTCGCGCGTTCCGCGCAAGCGTTGCGTCCGCGTACGTCACCCGGTAGTCGGACAGAGACGCGGACGCGGACGCGGCGTGTAACGTCCCCGTCTCGAACCGTACACCCGCGCACAACATGCGCTCCTGGTACGCGAGTACCTCCGCACGCGGTCCGTACGCACTGCCGAGCGTCGTGTTCGGACGCCTCCGTGTCGGCCGTCCTCCGTCGACGGGACGGCCGCCGCCGCCGCCGTAACCGAGAACGGCCGCCGCCACGCCCGTAGCCGAGAACGTCGCCGTCGCTCCGCATGCGCTCCTGGTACACGGTCCGTAGCGCATAAACGCTCGTCAAGATCGTCGACGCGCCTGTTTTTCATAAAAAAAAAAAAAAAACCCGTCGTGCCGCACACGTTGTTTTCGTTGTACTGCGTTTTTACAACGCGGTAAAAAGACGCGGAGGGAGGGAGAGCGAGCGAACCAAACCTCCCCCCCACCCACCACCACCACCCATCTCAATATCGTTATAGTTCTTATTTTTATTCTTATTTTTTCGCGGACGATTTTTTACTGGAAATCTCGCATCCGATTTTCCACTGTAGTACAATTTTTTGAAAGGAAATTTCGTTCCCGGCGGTCGTTTGTTTGATTTTCCAAACGGTTTTCCGAATAGTTGGAAAAAACCGGCGGGAAATTTCGGAAAAGTTATATTATTTTCAATTTTGTTTTTTTATTGTGATTCGGTTAAAAATATTCGTAGAGACTTGAAATTTGGATAGAAAACTTTTCTAGACGTGGTCAAATTTTAGCCATTTTTGAGATGTTTATGGACATTTGATTTTTGCACGATTTTTACGTAATTTTTAATCGGTAGGTAATCTGTAGATAAAATAGACCATACAGAAATGCTTGGGAATTTAACAGAAAGTCCATTATAGACATAAATACTTTGTGATCAAAATGCAAATATTGAGTGAAATGTGTAATTATTTTTTTTTTTATAATAATTTTAATATCAAATTATGAAGAAAAAGCATTTTTAAATCTGTATAACCGAACTTCGAATCATTTTGAATCGTTGCGTACAGATGTACACTGAATTCCCTTCTATATCCTGTCTTCCTAACTTGTGGCCACCTATCGTGTGAAGTATGTCTGTATATTTTAAAATCAAATTGCACATTATTGACAATAATTAATTATTGTAAAAAAAAAAAAAAAAAAAACAAGAATTGGCTAACCATCATTAGGTCTAACGAAAATTATAAATTACAAAAATTACAAACCATTGACAGCCATTAATGTTTAGTCATAATATTGTCTTTGATAATTATTGATCACTACTTAAGTTAACCGTAATTATTATAATTACTTTCAGTAACGAATAAATATTAAAATTAATTGTTTAAATATCATACTTACCTGCAGTCTTGAGTAGCCGAGGGCGACAGCTGTCAGATAACGAGTCGAAAGACGATAAAATCGAAAACGTACGAAAAATAAAAGCGGTTTTCGGTTTTTTAAACATTCTGTTTTTTTTCGGACCGTCGTCTATTAATTATTATCGTGTCGGACGATTTTCACACGTCGCCAGAGTGGGGGTTCGTGGGTGGAAAGCGGATGAAAGTCGGTCAACCGACTTACGAGAGTGTACGGTTTTCAAACGAGAGAAATAACAACGCCAGACGGGTATATTGCCGTGACCACACTGGACATTCGGAGGCGTTTGTTGCCCGGGCGATTTTATCGCGCATTTTGCGTCGCAGTAAAATCACCGGACGAAAAACGCCTCGAAATATCCATAATTATTATTACGCGATACAAAGCGTGTCGGTGTGTTATCAGGTCGATTTGTCGAACATTTCCGTCGCTATCGACACGGTGACCGTGATATCCTCTCTGGGAATGTCCAACGTCCAGTCGTGCGTATACAGAACCTCGTCCGCCGGATTGATGTTGCGCACGGTGATGTGCGGTTTGGTGTCTTGGGCCCTGGGGCGGTACGACGGATACCGCACGGTGAACATAAAATAGCCGTTGAATATTTTTTTAACGAACTCGTCGGCCGTACTGCGCAGAAAACACATCATTATCGTCACCATCGCCGTCGTCGTCATATGGTTAACGATGAGGCCCCCCCCCCCGGAAGCGTACTTCCGCAGGCTTCACCGTAACGTCCGCATATATGTACGATATACACTCCCGGATACGTTTCCTAACTATCCACGTTAACGATAATCCCCACCCGATCGCCCGAAACCCCGTTCGCGATCCCGGTTTCTCTCTCGCCGAAAAACCCCTCGCGCAACTCACACAGCTCCGCTTAAATCGGCGTTTTCGTACATTTAAACGTTTTGCGCGTGTGACAACACGTGGCTTTTGTTTGGACGGGTTACCGATAGCCCCGCAGTTCCGCCACACGCGACGTTTGTTAATACAACGACAATACCTAACTAAGCAGTAGCCGTCCTTGATACGGCGAGTATACTTGCGCCTATGCGCGTTATACACGCGTTATTAATAATGCGATCAGTATCACGGGATCACTTTCCCGACATTCGAATGCCCGGCAATACATTTTACATGGTTTTACGGTACCTGCTTAATACTAATGTACAATGTCTTATTATTATTATTGTTATTTTTTTGTCAATACACGAAGACCCTAATCAGACGAATGTTATATCACCGGTAATATCGTTCTGCGTGAAAGTGTACCGCGAGCAGTATTACAAATAAACTCTACAATAAGCAATAAAGTATACAAATAAAATGTTATTGCGCGGGGTCGGTCACGAACTAAACTGTTATTTGCGATACGATTCGCGTTCCCGAATAATAAACCGATGGACGGGGAAATTTTGATTTTGAAAAACAAATTTTATAACCGTCCGAAACATCAATTTTGAATGTGACATTGGATAGTGAACAACGTGATATTTTATGGAATTTTTCAATAATTTTTGACACAGATTTATTTATAATTAAACTCGATATTGTCGGAAAAATCAAGTGTCGGGAAAATGTATTGTAAGTGTTTGGAAATTGTCGAAGTTCAATAATCCGGATTTTCGGATACCGCTGTGACATTATAATACGACTTGGATTAAACATAATAATAAAATTAATTTGATAAGAAATCCTGTGCGCGCGTTTTTGTCCGGACGGGATTTTAGCGGCGAGATATTTTGACGGCGGGATTTTGTCCGGACACCGCTTAAATATTCATACCGCGCACTTATTCGCCCCGTCCTGGAGTACGGTTCCGCAGTCCTTCGGGACCCAAACACCTCCGTCGCAGTAGCGATACGACCGAGTGGGTACAAGGGGAGGTTTCTAGGGACGGTCGTTTACAGGATTATTACGAATCCTTGCACCCCCCACCCCGCGCGACTACTCGTCCGTCTCGCTCGCTCTCCCCGCCCCTTCTGATCGTAGGCACCGGGCGAGTATTCAATTATTCCTCTCCGAACTTTTATTCAACCAAATATAGACTCCCCTTCATTACTCATAGTGAAATAAGCTTCCGCGTGCCGTCACGTCATCACGCTCGTTCTTCTAATTTCCTCTGCAATTCCCCGACGGTTCGTCTCCCCCGTTTTATCAAACAACGACCCCATCTCTCACTGTCCGTACAATGTAATTTAATCTTATAGGTGAATAATAATATGTACTTTACATTTGCAATTATCGTCTGTTTGAAAACAAAATTAAAATATAGAGAATATCACTCGGTACGTTCGTACGATGGCGTCAAAAGGTTTGAAATCGAATCGGTTTTAAATGTATTAAAACGGACTATAGGTATTTTTATTTTACCCGTTCATGGTAAAAAAAAAAAAAATAAATGGGGATAGGTGAAGCCTCTGTTGTGGGTGGAAAGTTTAAAAGGTAGAATACCTTGGTTTTCCCGTGTTTTTTCCCGGCTTTTCACATTTGATAAAAAAACTCCTAAGAAAATCGAAAAATGACGTGTTTAAGTACCTTTCTAGTCCGATTTCCTTTCAGAAAAGATGCTACAAATAAAAAAAAAAATAAAAAAATAAACATCTTTGCAAAAAACCATAAGCTTCTTTGCTCCACTCGGAATCTAAAACGAGACGTGACATGCAACAGCTGATAATATTATTGATAGACTCTCAAACGAAAATCGATAAAGTGGTATGGATCAAAAACAAGTTTGAAACGCTCCATGAGGATTTCGTAAACAACTAGTACGTGCCTACTCATACGGGATGATCAATTTATCATAAGACACTTATTATCTCGGAAAGTATAAACTTATTTTCTAGAACATTTAAGAAACAAGCTGCGCCACGATTTCATATTTTTGTTATTTTGCTGCCGTCCTTAATTCCATAGATAAACCCACCACCTACTTTTGATTTTCAAACGGCAACCTATATGAAAAATTCCATAAATAGATGGAGTATTATTTGAAATGAGTTTTAGCGTTGAAATTTTTGATTTCCGTTGACGAGATATTCCACTTTTAAGTTTGGGTTGTAGGAGCGTAGTGGATCATCATAGTCTGTGTGGCGGTACGGCGCGTAGCGTGTTAATAATGCACCACTGCCCTGATATTGTAATTATTATTAAATGTTGGCACGATTCAGTAGTGTACTATGTTATTACGTATTTTAATTTGAAACCGCTAGACCGCTACGATTTTTTAAATACAATTTTTTCGGTATTACGCTCTGTAGGTAAGGCACACTTCCGTAGACCAAACATCGTCCGTAAAATGCAAAGGTTTGTTTGACGTTTTTAAAATTTCACGTGACCTGACACGTTCCATTTATACGATGTGAATGCATAACAGATTTCACGTTTAGACGTTGCCGGTCGGTGACGCGACGTCGGCTTGACGTGAATCGACTTTTACCGCCCGTCTCGCTCCACCGGCGGTGGCGGTAATATTATTACAATAGATTTGACGGATTTAATTATACGCGCGCACATCACGACGGGCCGACGGGAAGAATCGTCGGGGAAAATCATAAACGATCTCTAAAAAAAGCAATTAAAAAAAAAAAAACAAAACAGCCCGGCAACGCGGTCGAGAGTTCAGGACGTCCGTTTCGATTTTATGTACGGCGACCGAATTCAATTATGTTGGCCGGCACGCCCCGTGAATACATTACAGCCGCCTTGTATAGTCGTGAAAAATATTAATATTATCGACTTTTATTTCGCAGTTTTTCGTTTTCATTGATTTTCGATCGACGTTTAGCGGATGATAACGCGCAGTACGGACGGCGGCGCGCTAAGGAATTATCACCGGGATATGTGTAGCGATTGTTAAGCATCGCGAATTAATCGTAAATTCGTCTTTCTCTATCCAAATGGACGCGGTTTATTATCTATAAGCCGGATCCTAAAAAAGGTCAATTTCTAACCTGCAATATGTCAAGTGTTTCCCCGTAATAAATGCATTTCGACATTAGATTACACATATTTGTTTGTATTCTAAGCCGAATGGGGAGGCGGGCGATATAACCCCTAAACTTCTCGCCACTGAATACCGATTGAAGGCCGAAGGAAACGGTTTTTCGGCGATTTTCCGAGCGTTTTATCGATAGTTTCAACAACAATAATAATTAATATGCGGTAAAAACAACAATAACGCGCGCGACGCAGTAGCGCATTTATACGGTACCGCCGAACGGGTAGAGGGGGGGGGGGTTAGTTGGAGATGTTGGATTTTAAAATGTCGTGTCATATTGTATAAAGTGTACCCAGGGGGCTATACATATCAAAAAAAAAAAAATCAATTTTCGATTTTCGCTGATAATCGAGTCCGCCTCGAACGAAAATAATCGGCTGAATACGGACGCGACTAGTAGCGGTGGTAGGGAAAATCCGGATTTGCCGAAATTCGAAAATATCAACATTATAGCATGCGAATTATAAACTATCGATGGGTAATTATTGTTTGTAATAATATTAATTATAATAGGTAAGATTTTGTATTTGCGAAAATGTAAAATCGTGAAGTCGTTACGCCGTAAATATCTGTCCGTTTATCCCGACGTTTTTCCTATGTTTTTCCCAATAATTATGAAAACCTGCCTGGAAAATCGAAAATTTACTTCTTTAAAATACCAGCTAGACAATTTTAAGAATTTGAGAATTTAAAATTTGAATATCACATCACTTAACTATAGAGATTTATATTCTCTTATAATCCACAAAAAAGCGTTTTAAACATCAAAAAATCTCTGGAAAAAAAAAAAAAAACATTTGCAAACATTCAAAAAGGTGAAATCGACAGAGAAATTGAAAAGTCCCCCATCCCCCCTCCCGCTAATGGCTCTAACTTATTGAATTAAATTTCTTGACACAACATTGATTCATGAAAAGTATAATTTCGTTGAAATAACATCGTACGCATTATAAAAAAAAAAAAAATTGTTTAATACTTTTCATGGTGTTAGAAAATTGTATTTATACTAAATTAAATCCGTTAGAGGAGGAATTATTAAACCCCTCTATTATTTTTGCATGCATTTTGATACACATTTTAAGTGATTTTTCTTTTTTTTCAAGGTTTTTTGACGTTTTCGAGTGTATTTTTGCGGATTTTAAGAACGTAGAAATCCTGTCTCTAACGCATCACTGTAACGACTAGACGAGTAATAACGTTGTTCGTTAAACGATTCCCTATTGAGGTGTGCCACCATTATAATCTAACGTTCCTTATTCGTACCGCTGCAGCGGTTTTCGTGTTAAATTTTTCGTTTTCAAACAATGTGTACACACGCGTTCGGGTACCTAACGCTGCGATGTCGTAAACCGATCGGTACCGACGGGCAATGGCGCACACCGGGAGGGGGAGGGGTCTGGGGTGTCAACTGACACCCCTCGGAAAATTGACGGGTGCCTGGTGCCGGGTGAGTTTAGATGTTATTTGTACGTATGTTTGTTTAATATTAATAATATTAATCTGTAATTGAGTTTTATTATGCCTAAACTCATGGATTTGATTGGCGGGGCGGGTGGGTGGGTGCCTAGCTATTTATATGTGAGAGATTTACTGCGGGCCACTGCACGACGACGAGTAAAGTTAAAGTTCCGCCGTTAAAGTAATGAAACTCTCTCTTCTAGTGTAGGACGCTATTATAATTGTCGGAAAATAATTCGAGGACGGATTTAATATCAATCAGTGGCGGCTCGAAAGGGGTAAATTTGAACCACGCGTTTCGCAGAAAAAAAAAACGGTGAGCGGGTCGTGGGTGACTGGGTGTTCAGAAATGAGACAAAAAATTCATTAAAAGAATTTTAGATTGCAGAAATGTCGATAAAGTTGACGAATTCTATCGGAATTTTTTTGAGTAAAAGTTCAATACATTTCTGGTAGGTCGGGAGTATTTTGGGTTGACATGGGTAGGTGGGTGGTCGGGTTGGACAACTAATTAGGCGATTCAAGGTAAACATACTTCGAGCCGCCACTGATATCAATCACCCCCTCCCCCTTTCCCCCATACCGCCGGTAAACGCGCTACTGTGGCGACTTACGGACTTACAGTGGTATTTTCAACTGGACCGCGTACCACCGGTCCGGGCCGGTCGGCGTCAGCACTTCGATCGGGCCGTGCGCTGTCTCATAATGATCGGCCGCGGTTTCGACGCGGGCCACGTGATCGCAACCGGCCCACGGGCACTGGAACGCGTTCCGCGTGCACTCGGACCGGTAGTGGCGGTGGAGCTCGTGGACCGCGTACCATCGGTTCGCGGTGCGGCCGTCGTCGTCGGCGTCTTCCGCGTTCACCGTGCCGCAGTGCTTGCACTTGAACTTCAGCGCGGACACCGTCCAGTCCAGCAGCACTTGCGGCCCGTCGGCGAACTCGTCGCCGCACGAGCACCGCGCCATGTATTTCGCGCACGGCGGGCAGTTGACGTGCGCGGCCTCGCACAACTGAAACGGCGGCAACGATTGCGCGCCACACGTGTGACACGATATCAGCCGTTCGATTTGCGGACAAATGTGTTCCATATTGTTGCGATAAACGGTTATGCGATACAGTCGAACAAAGACTACACTCGATCGTCGTTACCGGCGTTACCGCCGCCGTGGTAACCGGTCGCGAAATCGTTCACGCTGTACGCGCGGCCAATATACCTGATAATATACTATCGACAATGTAACAAGTGTTTTTAATTGTTTGTTTTTAGAGAAAGTTCGCCCATCCGACCCCCACCCCCCACCCTCTCATCGCCCTCGGAATTCGGGGCTTTCGTTTTTTATACTGTTCGATCAGACTTTAATCGTTATATCCGATCGGTTTCTAGTAGAAAAGTCTCGTTCGCGGACGGGGGGGAAAAAAACGAAAGAGTCGATTGTGCTGACGGGTGCGCCGCTGTTGTGAGTGGGAAGCCCGGGACGCGGGATACAATATTTGATTTTTTTAAATTACGTCTCTAAGCGCCGGTAAATCCTTGCTAACGAAAAGCGATTCTGAGCGACGTGCGTGTTTCGGAACACCGTAATATTTTTCATCAAAAACACGTACACTTCGTTGCTCTCTATACACAATTTGATCGATCGCTCCCGGACAAAAATTGCAAACGATTGTGAATCCGTTGTAAGCGATTGCAAACTCAATCCCCGAATTCGTTAGTGCCCTCCATGGACGTTAAATTAAAATTAAATTGAGTGATCGTTTTGATGAAATAAAAAAATATGAAACACCGGCATAAGGATTATTAATTTTTTCAATAAGTAACAGAAATCGTAATGTATATTATTATTTCCAACAGTTAATTTTTGAACAATGAAAATTTTCCAAAACTAACAAAATATATTCTGAAGGATTCTACACGGGATTATTCTCATCTAAAATTCAGTTTTCCACTTTTAATTCTTAAAAAACAAATAAATGTTCGATAATTCTATTTTTCTAATAACTTATTTCAATTTTTCAGGCAAAATTGTTGTAATTAAATATTCTGTTTAACCGAGAGAAACTGTAAGTCGATAGAAAAAAAAAAATGGAATTCAAAAAAAAAAAATGAATTTATACAGTGGAGTTGCCAAATGATTTTAGAAAAATTACACCCCTAACTAATTTGTTGTTTCCTAAAACCCCTAATAATTCAGGAATTTAAAAATCACACTTAAAACGATCCGCAACCGTTGAAAATACAGCTCCGACCAAAAACCAAACGAAATCATTTTTAGATTCTAAGCGGAGCGAAGGATGTACAATGACTTTAATTTCCTGTTTCTTTATCGGTGGATAACTTTTCTACCGGCAATTTTGCTCCGGTTTTCGAAGAAAGTGCATTTCTTTCTTTTTTTTTCTGAAATAAAATCGGACTGGGGTGGTACTTTAGAGAGCTAAGTTTTTGATTTTCCCAGAAGTTTTCCCGATAAATATGAAAAACGGGTACAATATTAAAGAAAATATATTTAACACTTGTGTAATTATTTTACCATGATAATACGACATATTATACATTGTTGACAAAGCAACACTGTCACCCGAACTCCGCTCAGAATGGTTTTTTCGTTAGCAATGGTTAGCAATAGTGTCGCGCTGCGCCGGTCCCCGTCATCCTAGGGCAGTTTTTTTTTTTTTGCATTTCGGTTGGCGAGTAAGAGAATCGTTTTTTTTTTTTTTGCATAGTAATTTTCCGCGTAGTTTTCTTAATTAACCCCGGGGGAACAAACGTAGAAATAACAAGAAAGCTTACGGAAATAAACGGATCAATTATTTTAATTTTCGTTTTTTTTTTTTTCGTTGTTGTAGTCGAGTTTCACAACGTAGTTATTATCATTCGGTACACGTATTTAACGGGAGATTCGTTACGTGTTGTATACTTTACGGCCGACAAAAAAAAAAAAATAACAATAATTAACATAGTGTAATACAGTAGTTTTTTTTTATTTTTTTCTACATAATGGTATTAAGACAGCGGAACAAAACTGGGAATATGAGAACGTTTACGGCGTTGGAGGTTTCGTTTCGTTTTTTTTTCGGTTCTTTGGGGGCTACGGCAGTACACCGAACGGCACGGCGACGCGCGTCGAAACCATGCGGAACCATGCACTCCTGGTACCGATTACCTTTATGCCCGTAGTCAAGACCACTTTACGTGTCTCCGTTTTTGGTGCGATCCTCGTGTTTCTGCTCACGAAAAGAACCCGCAACGAATAACAGAAAAAAAAAAAACAACAACAAGGTACGCTATACGGTCGGTTACGCGACGGAAACTCGCTTTATTATTTATGGTCAACGACAATTTAATTTTACTCATTTTATTATTGAGATTCCGGGATGTCCGACAGGTGTCGCCTGCACGAAACATACAATTGAAGTTACACAAACGTGCAAACTTCTAAACGCTCCGTAACACCCCCTGCCCCCAGACTGCATGAGACACGGTGCGATGGAGGGTGGGGGGAAGTCCTACGATCACCCCGTGTTTCGTATAGGTTACTAGACCGCTAGACACGATGGATTCATACAAAATCATTTTGAACGACGAAAAATCGAATCATAAAACGACGACGTAGAAAATATAAAACCGTTGAAGTAAAAAAAAATGTTAGCGGTCCGTTTATTTCCTCTCCACCGGCCGCCTGTTTCCCGCCCCTACTACAGACTACGCGTGTATACAAAAGTTTTTACTCCTACAAACAATTAATTGTTTAAACGCATAATAAATAATATTATACGGGATTTCCGAGAACGAAAAGCGGAGCGTACGTATTGATCGTACGTAAACTATGACGTATTCTAACGCGTAGGTGTAGTGAATTTTATACAGTCTACAGGGTGTTTATAATGCACCGGTTACTCTCCCCCGACCCAAACTCAAAAGTGGAATATCTCGTCAACGGACAGACGGAAATCGAAAAATTGTAAACACCGAAATTCGTCTCAACCGCCGCTCCGTGTACGCGCGGCAGCAGAGCTGCTTGTTCTCCAAAATAAGCTCTCCGAGATGGCGCGCGTCTTACGACCGATTGATCACGCCGCGGCCGAGTTCGCGTTCATTCGAAAACCTTTGACCGTTTCGTCAAGTTAACTGACCTTTCTCGTTAAATGCCGGGATTTCTATAGTTCGGTAACCGCCCGTAATCGGCCGCGGGTTTTCGAACGCGAACCGACGGAAAACCGCGAACGCAACGCGGCGCGCGAAAACCAAATCGTCGGCGCGCAATTATAACAAAGTCCGCGTTAAAACGGCCGCGGCGTTCGAAACGTTCGACAGCGTGACCGCCCGCTACCCCTCTACGGGGTACGTCGCGACGACCGCCGCCGCCGCCGCCGCCGCCTGTGTACGCAAACGACAGTGACGGATATCGGCCGCGGGATTCTGCTCGTGACGGACGTTTGGCCCCGGGCTTCGGGATTTCGGGGGCGCGCGCGCGGCAAATGTTCCCGGGTGAAACGCGTCCCGGGACGACGCGACAACGGGGGCAAAAATAACGAAACGTGGCAATATCATGACGGCGGCGGGGGGTCGACGGGAAATCGGCCGGAAACCGCGCGCGGCTCTGTCCGCGACGGCTGCGGCGGCGGGCTTATTGCGGCACGGGTCACGACGGGCCGCGGCACGGAAAGGCCCGCGGGAGGCCGCAGGTGAACGCGCCGTTTTTCCCGCTCACCGCCCCGTTCGAGTTTTTCGCAACGCTCCGTCCCGCCGCCGCGTCATCGTTTGTTGCGGACAAAATATCATGTGACTGGACGGGTTATTCGGAGGGGTGAACGATGTGTCCGGCATTTTGACGTTTTCGGGATTTGTACAGGAACGTATACGGGCATTTTATATTGTATCCGAACCCACCGGATATTTGGTGTGGAAACGAAACACTCGTGTGACATGCAAATCCGAATCATCCGAAAACCCGAAAAATCCGGATTACGGATTTACGGATTTCGAAATTCGAATTTCACGTTTGACATTGTGGATTTATGTATTCTATTGAAAAAAAAAAAAACAATTTTTTCGATACATAAATCTGAGTGTAGTTTTGAATACATTATTAAAAGTAATCCGTAAAAGAATACTAATTCAATGTTTCAAAGTCCATAGTCAGATTCACAATTACAAGATTCCGGATTTTCGAACTTCGACAGATCCAGATTGTTTCCCAATCACTGCTAGAAACAGTATAGGCGCGTGTGTCTTTATTTCGTTTATTTCGAATAGGGAACATCCATATCAGTTATAACAATTGATTACGGTTTTTTTTTTTTTTTTGTCTCTCTCCTGTAAAAATTTGAATTTCCGGAAATGTTCCGTTTACCATTTAACCCGTTCCGATTATACGCCGAGTTAAAATCCCGTTTTCAAGCTCGCGTCCGATAAATACACCAATGATGCGTAATTCTTACCGAAAAACCTAACCTAACCTAATTAGGATTTTTTTTTTAGGCAAATTTACGTATAACTTATGTTATGGTTTTACGTCTTTATTTGGACCTTGTTTCTAGCGTTTGTATTCAAATATCGATTATCAAAACTCATATTATTTATGCAGGCGAAATTGCAATTGATATGAACCGCTCATCCAGCACAAGCTCGGCTTATTAGAGGGTGCTGCAATTTAATGTATGCGCGCAGTATTTATTAAATGTACCACCTGTTGTTTTTTTGTTTTTTTTTTTTGTTTTCCGGATCAGCCGTATAATATATTATTTTCGAGGGTTTTATTTTATTTTTTTTTTTTTTTTGCGTTAAAACCCGCACATCGGTATTTTCTACAATATCGCGATATTTACAATCGTACGGGTGCATTCAACGAGAGTCCATCATAAGTCGTCATTGCACTCGATTGATTAAGTAAGAAAATTTTAACCGAATTGTTTGCAATTATTATTGGTCGCCGCAGAAGCGAGTAGAAAAAAAAAAGGACACTGACGTGGTTCGCACGACGTTGGGCGGGCCATTCTGTTGTATAGGCGTCAAGTCGGGAAGCTATCGATAGAGGAAAAATTGAATGTACGTATCGGCTGTACGCGACGATTAACCGTCGCTAACGAA